ATAAGTCTTGGTGGATTGTTTTGGAATTACCTGTCACTAAGTTGAACTGAGATGAAACACCGACCGCATTCGCTAAACGGTTATTATTGTATTAAGAACTATTACGTGCTTAAAACTTTTATCCCTAAACATCATAAGCGCAAATAGACAAATTATTTCGGGGGGAATAAAGCCCCTTCTATAATATTTTCTAAAAATTATATATGCTCAGTACTAATTACTGACTTTTGAACTGGGGGGACTAAGTCCCCCCCAAACCCCCACCTATTTGCGCCAATGCTAAACATTATGTGCGGCTCACCAAAACTCGTAGGCATTAAACCTATTAGGTACCAAGCTAAGACATAATAACATAAAGCCGCAGAGGTTTCCAATTTTTATTCTTTGGTTTTTCACTCGTTCATGAAAAACGATTACAAGTCGTCTTTCTCATTCACAACAGAGACGTGTGATTTTTGATAAATAATTAACTATTSAGCCACCAATCGTGTGAAACGATAGTATACCAATTTTCAATAATAATATTGAATTAAGCTGCGACATCTAGCCATCTAGGTTTAATAAACGTAAATGTTGTGCTTGATGAAAAAAACTAAGTATAGACTTCGGTCCGAAGAATATTTCATTAATGAATGAGAATGACCATGAAAAAACTGATAGTATATTATTATTATTTAGTGTTCAACTGTATTACACTTGTAATTTCCAAAAATGCTGAGTTATCGAGTGGATAAGATCAATCGAAGCGATTATATCGAATTAAGCTGTGGAAAAACGAACATAGTCGTTTAATGTATTCATAACAAATAAAAAATATTTTTATTTTTCTATTTTATTACATTCCTATTTTATATAATGTAATTTAAATTGTATTAAAATAATTTAATGTTTTCTATTTTTTCATGTATTAATAATAGATAATAACATTATTTCATTACGTACCTATTTTATCTTCGTCTTGTCCACAAGGCGTAAATAATAAAATGTATTATTACGAGCGTATGGATATTGACGATATTATAATGATTGATTTCTGTTTTCCGCGCTATCTATCCACCGTTTGATTTGCGAATTCGCGCAGTCGCGTTTCTTTATCAAAGCGTCTAGACTCCACACTGGACTTTGATAACCAAACTAGACAATAATACAACAATGACGTATTAGAATATTAGATAAACAATAAAAGTAAAAACGTAATAATGTGATTTTTTTAAATTTCTTACCTATTTTCTATTTTTCTACCATCTATCTATATACCTTCAAAGTCTAGTACTTTAGTACTTCGTACGTTTGACATTATGATTCAACACAACAATCGGCTCTCGGGGTACATTCACCCTTTCGTGTATGTGATGTGCCACACAAACGACATACCTACCCATTGTATAGAATCTGAAGAGAATACCTGCATGTTGAGTATTTATTGGTTTTAAATTCTTCGTAATGCATTTTGCWATATTTAAGTTTGCCAATAAATGATGAGCGTACAACAGTTGTGATTTATTTAGTCCCCAATAGTGAGTTAACACGATGTCAAGTTACGTAGCATTTAAAAAGTATTTCATATTAGTTGGATAGGATATTTGATATTGGTTGCTCATGTCTGTAATCCATTTTATAAGATAAAGCAATTGTAAAGAACATCCAGCAAGTAAGTGTACCCTTAATTTGATTTATTCCTACCTACTTTTTGCTTTTCTTAATTCAATATGTACCTACCATACATTATTATTTTTAACAGACATTTAAACATGGATGATCAACTAGATATTATGTTGAAAAATACCAATTCAGAATTTATTACCTTATCGTATGCTGATCATTCACTGATCTCTCATCCTGAACAATTATCTGACGAATGTGCAGACATGAGTAAGTAGCCAAACATTTGTGTGGAGCGTTGATGCTTGAAAGTAAAAGAATGTACCAATAAYAATAATCTATACTTGAAAGAAAGTCAAAAAACAAAAGATTAACATTTTACTATTATGATATTATTAAAAACAATAAAAACCCTTTTTATCTAATGCATTCTAATGTACTCTTATATTTTATAATATCAGTGCAACAAACATTATCATATTTTTTATCAAATAATTTGAGTTTTTAGGATCACATTTATGTTACTTTGATTTGACTGTTAAGTATATTTTAAAGATTAAGATTGCTAATTTGTATTACCTACCTAGTYTATAATTTATCAAGCGAAATTAATAATTGTTTATAGTTATAATCATAATGTTGACAAAAAATTATTGCACTTAATGAAAAAAAAAATTTTWAAAAAGAGACTGATACAGTCTATAAAAAAAATTGTTTATTAAACAACAATATTTGCTCGTGTGTTCAATATATTCATGTTATAGGCTTCCTCAAGACTTATATTTTGATTGTTCAATAATCAATGTAAACGTATGATCAACCATATTATGTTGTTAAATGCTTAATTTTAAAAGTGTTTATATTTAGTTTGTTATTTATTATCYATTATTATTTAGTTTTAGACCAGGATAATTGTCACGATATGAGTGCCATGGCTCCATTAAATGATTTGTTGTTGGAGCAAACATTCCTTATAGAGACTAATGAACAACCATTATTTGTAAATGGTGAACAGGTAAAGAACATTGTTACAATTCCTCTATTATTTGATATTGATTTATTTTTTTATTTTACAGCTAATTACGTTTGAAAATGTCGATTCTAACGGACAAATAAGTGATATCCAGACTATTTCAAATAATATTGAATCTGATAAATCTACAATTGAAAATATTAATTTTACTAYGAACTCTGATGATCACTTCCAAAACATTTATACAGATTGTAATTAGTTTATACTTTATAATAGGCAATAGCTAATCATTTTTATTTATTTGAAATGCAATTTTACATCAATTTATATCTTTACAGTYAATAAATCTGAATTGGATACAACGAAAACCACTAATGAAAGTAATAATTTGACAGAACATTTACAAGTTAAGATCAACACTGATATTACTAGTGGAAACTACAGTTATTCAACTGCTATTAAAATTTTAGATGATGTTGCTAAGAGTCCTGTTGATACTAATGTAAGTTAGCTTTTGATGAATAATTTTAGTCYGATGAATAATTTTTATATTTTATCTAGGGTCATTTTGTTTGTGATTTATGTTTACACGAATTTTATAACTGGAAATATTATAAGAAACATAAATTAGAACATTTGAATGATAAGCCATTTAAATGTTTGAAATGTTTAAAATCATTTAATTACAATGTAAGTGATAAAAGCTTTCCTTAAAGAGGACATGATACCCCCATGTGTTGTCACCATCTTACAAGTGCGTAACATACTAAATTTTACTCTGCATATCAAGTTTAGCTCCGTTAGTGTWAGAATTAGAGTGAATTGACCTATTATCAAATTTAAAGGTAAGAGTATTATTCAAAACGACCTCATGGGCTTTTTACTATATTTTAATTTTAAAGTGAGTTATAAGTTTTAAAATTGTAAATTTTTTGTACATCTTAAAATATTTATAACTTGCTTTGAAATTAATACATAGTAAAAAGCCCATAAGAWCGTCTAAATAAAAATCTTACCTTTAAATTTTATAAGAGGTCAATTCACTCTAATTTTTAAACTAACAAAGCTAAGCATGATCTGCTGAACATAAAATTTGGTATGTTATGTTAAGCACTTGTAAGACGGAGACAACACATGCGGGCATGACCTCTTAAATTATTCCATATTATYTAAAATATTTACATATTATATTATTTTATGTTGACAGAATAATTATTTACTTCACATTGCTTCTCATTCAACAAGTAATTTGAAATGTCCAAAATGTAAAAAAGAATTTA